AATCTATTGATCAATTGTCAATAATCAATTCTAATAAGCGAAAATATAAAACCGCTGACAATGAGATAAGCAAACAATCAACTTTGGATTCAAGTGAGAAAAGATTAACAAGAGCTCAATTTAAGAAAAATCAACAAACAATTAACTCTGATCATGTTTTGGTTAATTTTTGTTATTTAAAAGAAAAAAGTAATTCAAGTAAATTGGTAATTACTTGTTCTCACTTAATTGAACAAATTGGTAATTTGAACAAAAAGAGATCAACAGTTAAATTATCATCTTTTTCTCATGACTTTCTTTTGGTAAAGTCTTATGACTTCAAATTGCTCATTTATCATCCAATTTATCTTCTTAAATATTCTCACATTTTCCATTTCCATTTTCATTTTCATTTCGTTTACAATGACCAAAGTTTAATTTCTCATTTGTTATTAGTGTTAACATTAAGAAATAGTCTTACTCATTATTATCGTTTCATCAGTTTACTAGTTGAATTGAAATTCAATAACTTTGGTTATTATTTTGATATTTGTTTCAATTTGATTGATAAAATGTCCGACAAACTTACGACTAGAATTCATCAAATAGATGACCAGGGAAATGAAATTGAATTAACTGATCTCTTTGAGATTCAATCAACAAGTGAAAAAGTTATTACCCCTGATCAATCATGGTCATCATTTGTTCCTCTTGATTTCAACTGGAAACCTTTTACTATAAAAGAGTCAAAATCCACCGATGAAGAGAAAGAAAAACGTTCAACCTCATCACCATTACCTTCTCAATCTTCACCAACATCAGTTATCAATGAGAAATTCACTAAAGTGAAATTGAAAGATTCATCACCCTCATCATCTTCATCATCTGATGACATAGTAATTGAATTAGATGAAGAATTAGTTTATAAACCTGAGAAAGTGAATAAGAAATGGCGACGAGAACCTCCACCAGATTTAACTTTCAACTATTTCACCGATGGAACTCTAGATGCAGATCGAATCGATAATCCTGATTATCCTGAGGTTTGTAGAAAACGAACTTTTCACCGATTCCTGGTTTAGCTGAGTACGAAAAGCAACAAGATGCTAAAGAAGATTTACCTCATCAAGTTCATCAACTCAGACACATTCACCTAAAGGTAAAAAACTTTGTGATCAACAAACTCAACACCCGGTAAATCCAGTACCAATTGACTTTGAGTTTCCTCAACCGAGTACATCTTCAGGTATCACTAACCCGAGATATAAACCAACTCCAGTGAAAAATCAAAGTACTAAAACGGTCGAAATGAAACAATCATTTTCTTCGTCGATTAACAATGAACATCAACAATTACAAATTCGTATTGACATGTCATCAAAAGAGCCTCAAGGCAATAAAAGAAAAATAAATAACTCATCCTCATCTGATAATCAACCCAAATCGTTTCAGAGACAATATCATCAACAGGCAAGTAAACAATTTCAAGATCAACAAGTTTACCCTGGACCAAATGATCGTTATTGGCCGAAATACACTTATCCAGCACCTCATGTTACTTGTCCTCTTCCTGATTATCTTTCTACTGAGCGTTTCTTTGAGATTAAAAAGAAAGTTGAACAAGAAGCTCAAGAATTACGAGCTGAGAAATTTAAGTATTTCAAACTAATCAAAGAGAAAATCAAATTAAATCTTATTGATATACCTGAGATCGATAATTTGGACATGGATGAAATACCTAGAGGTCTTTCGTTATCAAAAGTTATTCTGTTCAATGTTCATGAGATTTTGAAACGATCAAATGTAATCTTTAGAACATATTACAATTAATCCATTGAAATGTACCAATTGTGAAAAGTGGTATTGTTATTCTTGTACTTGCTGGTTAAGAAAAGTGATAATCAAATTGAACTTTTGTCCACCCAATGACAATAATAAGGCCATGTGTCTTGAAACAAATTGTATTGTCCAATTTACATCTCAAAATGAATACCCATTTTCACAAGAGTCATCATCATCACCATCATCATCAACTTTCGTTAAATATTCATCAGCATCATTCATTTGTCGTCGACATTTGTGTAATAAACAGATTAAACCATCAGATTATTTCACTCATGAATCTCAATGTCGATCTGGATTAATCAAAGATGAATATGAGTTTGATATGACTTCGAAATTTAAACATGGAGACATTGAAAACTTTTGTCAAGCCACATAAAATTTCCTATCACATTTGGCTCCTCATCTTAAATCAGCTATCGCTGAAAATGTTTCTGATCCTAAGACTATGACACATCCAGAGATGGGACAAGAAAATACCGAATATGCCTGTGTATTAGTTCAACGAGATGAGAATCAAATGATCCTCAATTGGCTCCAGAAAATATTCGCAATCATATTCGCGGTGCAAGGCCAAACTATTGGAATAGTTTGAAAAGGCTGAGACCCATCGGAACCCGTAGATGAATTAGAACAATGGATGCTCGATCGAGGCTTCGATCCAATCATGGGAAAACCAATAAGTGGTCAATATATTAGGCCTCGAACTTGCCAATGGAAAAGTGTTCCTGATTATCTCTTAAGAGCAAATGCTGAATGGTTTCTTCTTGATCAAATCGAAAAAGAAAAGAAAAGAAAATCTTTCCAAGAAATCAAACGCCCTTATCATCAAGTGAATCAACCTTTATAAAATTAACGTTTTCGATCTTATTCATCCATCGAAAGTCGACAAAATTCTTAAAGAAATCAAATCAAATTTTCCTTCTCTCAGAGATGTAGAGAGACAAAGTTATAATGTTGGTTCACGACAAAGAAGAGATTCATCATCATCATCATCTTCATCTTCATCCTCATCATCTCGCACATATTTTAATCATTTTCATGAGAGAAAAGCTATTCAATCAGTGGAACTGTTTCATCGATGTTCTCAGATTCAATTACCATCATTACCATCAGAATTTGAAGTTCTGATAAAAGATAATACAACTAAACATCCTAATCCTAAGCTTATCTTTTCTATTCATATGGCTTATTGTGGCATTTTCGCGCAATATGATCGACCTCAAGGTATCATAGAGAAAATAGAACAGCGACCGATTTGGATAATTATTGTCAATGGTTACCAAGAGATTATCTATGAAACTTTTGTTAGATATCCACAAATTGAAACTATTCAAGGAGAACATCATGGACTAATTAGATCTGATATTCGACATGCGAAGAATCTTGAGTCAGTACGAGACCAAGTTATACCGTATTTGGTAGTTTGTGATCAATTAATTGGATCTGGACTAATTAATCAATTGATTGCTCTTGGATTATCTCGTAATGAAATTGATCTTCTCAGACCAAAGATGAGAGATTACTCAACATTTCTCACCCATCAAAACCCCATGTTCTCTTTCATCTCTTTCCTTGTCTTCAGAAAGTTTACAATTGAGAAAGGTGCTCATTCACCAGCAGTTGAAGCGCTAATTTCGATGCAACTTTACTTATCCTTTTGGTACGAAATCGAAAAATGTAAAAGGATAAATGATGGTATTCATAGTAAAATCTTGAACTTACTTGTGGTAATAAAAGATTGCTCAACTTTTGGATATCTTTGCGAATCGAGTAAGCGAAGGTCTGGATGAATGGCCTGAAAATTGGCACTATTTTACTTCTGGAGCAAGAAATAAACCATCATACAATAGAAATACTTGTGTTTCTCCATCATCATCATCACCCAGTTCACCTTTAAAACCACCACCATTGAATTTTGAGATTGAAGTTATTCCAGAAGATGAAATGGAACAAGAAGATTACACTCTTCCAACACATCAAAGTTTACAATTGTCAACACTTTACATTAACAGAATGACCTGAAAGGATATCATGGTCTAAATCCACCGAAGTGTAGGGTTGATCATCACGAACCTCTCAGTTCATTTGTTAATTTCTGGTTAACAATTAACTTTAATCATTTTTCTTACTTCATTTAAATCTCAACAATTAACTTTAGTTACTCACAGTAATTAGATTCAGTTAAAATTAGATTACCAATCACAGTTTAATAATAATAGTTAACAACTTGTTTATGTGACTATTAACACATAACTGATATTTTCCCAAGAAAAAAGATTAACAAAAACAATCAGACTTGATGTCTCACATTACCAATTAACCTCTTGGTAACAGACAGAAAGTCTATTCTCTTTCTTTTTCTTTCTTTTTTCTTTCTTTTCATTAATTTTCTCTTTCTTTTTATTTATCTTAAGATAAAAATGTTCACTAAAATTGTCTCAAAATTAACATCGTAATCATCATCAAGAAAAACAATAAGTTAACTTAACTGAAATTTGATGAAAAATGATTGATTATCTTATGATAGATTTTCTGGTTAAATGGTAACAATTAACGGTCAAAATTTCAATGAAGAAAATTTCATATAAATAGAAGATGAAGTTAATTATGGATCAGTCTTATTCTAACTTTCACCAGAATACGATTCATGTTTCTCACTTAAGTGAATTTTCAATTTTCATCTTTACCTTTACTCTTATGAGATTTTGTTCAAAATAAAAGTTTAATTATATTAGTTAAATTCTGTGTTATTATTTATCAATTGAAATCCTCATTCGAACCTTAAATTGATCTGTATTAGTGAAGGACAGATTCGGAATCTCCACTGATTAACTTAAGTTAATTTACCTTTTTCTTTGAGACTGACTCAATATTTATGCAAATTGATCTGATTCAATTCTTGTGTTGTGGTAATTTAACGACTTAAAAGTAAATCAAATTGTTAACATTACAGATTCTTACTCTTCATTTGTTCCCAGAGAAATTTAGTGATTAATCAACAAGATTAAGTAAATTAAATCCCTTCAATAGTTTATCAATCTAATCGATTTAAATTTTGCTATTTTGCCCTTTGCTTATTTGACTTTGCTGTTTTGGCTTTTGCTATTTTGCTCTTTGCTGTTTTGACCCTTTACCTTAATATTAGTCTCTAATTTCAGCATTTGGAATCAGAATTATTCATAATTAATTCAAATGCAGGAAAAATAAAATACTGTCGCTTTAAGCTCTTCATTGAATGTATTCAGCTTATCGGTTTCCATTACGATTCTTTGGTGAAAGGGTCAGAAAAAATTGAATCCATGATAATGTTGTTACTTTGTCATTCTCACAAGTAAATAAACTGTCATTTGATTTGAAATAAGATTAAGAACTTTTTTAATCCATGTGATGAGGCCTGAGTTTGGATTTGCTTTTAACTGGTCACAAGTTAATCAGGTTTCATTTGATATAATAATGATTTTCTTGTGTATATTATCATGAGGTAGAAGTTTTTTCCTCATTTAATAGTGTGGACATCATGTAGATATAACAAAGTGAACAGAGATTCACTTGAAAGTGTCAATCAAAGACAAAGAACATGTAATCAAATTAAATACTTGATGGGTTTGATTGTACCTTCGTCTTTTTCAATGCCTTTGGGGCTTAATGACAATAATAAAACCAAGCAAAAAGTATATGTATATATACTTGTAATACGAAAAATTCAGTTTCAAGAGGATGTTTTGTTTTACTCAGTGGTTATTGTCATGTTTTTCCTTCAATTACATGCAGTATCTTCCAGTGTAAGAATTGATCATCATGATCCATCACCATGATTGAATAGAAGAAACAAAAAAAGGTGATAAGAAAAAATCAACAACCTGTAAAAGAAAATGAATGTTTAGATTATTTAAATAATAGAACCAATTTAATCAATCGAAAAGGTTTTCGTTGCAATTGTAATAACAACCAAAGTTCAGATACAAACTTGAGTTTGGACCTTTTTTTAATTTTTCAGACAATCAGCCTCAGGGTAAATGAAGTATTTACCTTTCTTCCTGTTAATGGTATGAAAATACACCTTCAATTGATCCATGAAACGATGTCCAGTTGTTGATGGAGAGTAAACTTGACCATCAGTAGATTTGTCTCCCTGGATCTGTAATATAAATTCAAATAAATCAGATTATAAACAAGAATTGATTTCGGAGAGAGAGTTGATATCAAGGTGGGTTATGTGTTAGGTATGATGATGATGATGATGATAGCTTATATAATAACAAACATAGAAAGGAAATTGAATGGATTGAGTGACCAGGAGAGTGAAAAAAGGTAAAAGAGTCGATCAATAGGCCTGAGGGTTGATTTGATTGGAGAAAAATAAACGATATTTGAAACTGGTTGATTCAATTCATTATCCATGAATCTCAGGAGAAATCAGATGAAGATCCAAAAACAGTGAGACTTGTTCATCCATCGGTTAATGTTACTCAGTGGAAATGGTGATAGAGAATTATTATTATCCAAAAAAAAGATGAGAACTGGAAACAGGGAAAAAGTCATCTAAATGAGTAGAAAAACATTTAACAGAACAAAGAATAAGAATATTAATTAATTTTGCTTCTTCCAATTCAAGGTAATTAATTGATCTCAATTTTCTATTCGGATAATCTCTGGATAATCCTGAGATCAACTTTCTGGTGTTGTCACGTTGATTGAATTCAACCTCTGAAAATAGTGAAATTATCTCAATGATAAAATGTAATTCTCACTTTGATTGTCTCAAACTAATTAGGAAACTTTGATTTAATTGATTTTCTCCTCTTACAATTACTTTTCCTTCAATTTTCTCCCAATAGAATCAATTGATTTTTCCCCCTGATCTTCATGAGTGTTTATCAATTTTCCATCATCACCATTAAATTAATTGTATTAGTTTCATTTGTTAATTATCAACTTGTCAATCTTGTGTTGTGACCATTGTGACAATTAAGTTAATCAATGTGAGTATGGTTAAGAATATAATATAAATTGAGAAACTAATCAAACATCATTCGAGAGAAATACGTTAATTGTGTTAATTTAGGTTAAATTGGTTCGATAATCATTTCGAATGTGAAAATCTAGAGAGAAAATTTTTCATCATCATCATCATCATGAAACATTAATTCAATTCATGAGAGGAAGGAAATTAATTCCATAGAAAATAAAACAACAATTAACTTAAGAAAGTGAAAGAAGAAGAGAAAAAATCTACAATTAATGATGATTAAATTAATGAATTAATCATTGATTAAGAAGAAGATGAAAATTGTGAAATGAAAGACTCTTGTTCATCATTCACCAAACATGAATACATGATTTATATTCTGTATGATTAACTGATTTACAGGAGAGAGAAAAAAGAGTTTTAATTTTCGATTGTAAATCAAGTTGATTAATGAAATTCTCACCAAACTGGACAATACAAATAAGCCGATTGACCATTAGTGGGAAACACGGAAAGGGAAGGAAATCAAATTGTAGACGAAAAAAACTCCAAACTAGAACCGGAAACATTTCCATAGGAAAATGTTATCATGATTGAAATTGGAAAATTAATTAAATTGTTTACATCATCATCATAGAGTATTAATTGTAATAAGATAATTATTCATCTTCATCATAATCGTTAATCAACTTCCAATGTCAAAGAAAAAAAAAAGAGTTAAGCAAATTACATTGAGCGAAAGCAAAGAAAAAAGTTAATTGCGATTCTATTCAAATCTTAATATCTTAATTTAGTGGCGATCAAGTTGATTGAAACAATTAACTATCAATGGTTTAAGCTCAGGAAAAAAAATACTATCATCAAGTGTAAAATGAATAACAATTAAGCTGATTGTAATCTCCTGCAATTTATTGATTTACTTGATTTGATATGTTAATTTGATCATTTAATGTATTCTGAATATCAATTAACTTGTTTTAAATTGTTGGAAAACTAATTGCCAATAAATTGTTGATAATAATTCAAAACTTTTTCATTTGTTTACTTGTTTATTTTACTATCATCAACAAGAAACTGTTAAACTTTTTTAAATGATCAATTTAAATTGTCACAAGAAGTAAATAAAAAAGTTAAACACATTAAATTAATCACATGGAGGATAAATTATACGGAAGGCAATTAAGAGATTATATCTTGATTATAATGGTTAGTTAATAACTGACCAATCGAAGTACGAAAATTCAATCTACGTCGAAACTTTCAAGGTCAAGGTCACAGGTAATTCATTCAATAATAAAATACCGTTATTTAGATGCTCCATTACGATGATGATGATGATGATGATAAAGTAAATCATCAAATCGGTAAATTTACTTCTTGATTGTCAATATCCCATTTAATTTTAATTGTATCTTGATGCTTGAAGTGACTGCTGATGGTGACGATAATTGTGACGAAATCAGAATTGGAAATTATGATTAATCAATGTTAATTTACTGATTACAAAGAGTGATGGTAACCAGAATGAAATTTGTTCATTAAAGGACATTTATTGTTACAATTAAAAGGCTTGAGTAACAATAATAATCATGATAATTGTCAGTGTTAATTATTAACAGTTGATGTAACAATCAACAGATAAACAAAAAAAAGTTCATGAGTTAACCTGAAAAATCAGAAAGAGGATAAAGATTATAAATGAGAATGAAAATTTTTTTTTGTTTTTCCATTGAAAATAATTGAACCAAAAGTCAATAACATTAAATATCCTTTCATGATCATCATCATGATAAAATATCCCCAATAACTGAATCATTTCAAGCTTAAAATGATTTACTTTTTTAAAAAATTGATCCATTTTCAAACTTTGATCATTGTCATCAACAAATTATCATCATCATCATCTGTAGTTGACACCAAAATAATGATCATATCAAACATCATCATCAGCAAGTTTCTCATCATATGTTTACTTGAGCAATTTTCCCCTGATTATAATCATCATATTGAACCTGAAATTGAATGTATAGAAATTAACAAATCAGAATCAGCAAGAGAAATGATTTAAAGTGAACATTGAAAAAGTTTCATTGAGAAAATAACAAGAAAAGGTAAATAGTTTCAACTGAAAATCGCCAATTGTAAACAATCAACTTTTCTTGATTTATATGTAGAGATCTTTAGATTCTCAGAAAGTGTCAACTATTATCAAGACCAACAATCAGTTGATTGTTTATATTATTTAAGATAAACTATGGAAACTTTGATTCATTGAGAATGAAAATTGAAAATGAAAGACTGGGAAAATTTGTCAACCATGAAAATATCAATAGAAACATAATCATCACCATCATCATTATCATCTTAATCTTCATCATCACTATCATATGAATGAAAGATTAAGATGGAAAATAATTTGTTCTCAACTTTTTTTTTCTTCCTTCGTTAGTATTAATCTGTAGTAACGATTCTTACTGAGTTATTAATACGATTTTCTTAATAACCATCAGTTGTTGCTGTTGTTTGATTTTCTAACTATCCCGTTGGAGGATGTTGCTAATGATGATGATGATAAAATGATAACTCAACATGAGATCAGTTGCAATTAGTAAAATCACCTCGAAAACAAGGAGTGTTTAAAGTTATCATCATCAATAAGAATCAAGAATTATGTGAATATCAAGATAAAGGTTAAAACAAGAAAGAAAAGGTAAGAGATGAAGAGATGAAGAGATAATCTGATGATGATGATGATGATAATTATGATGAGAATGGAAAACGAAACAGATTAGACTTCAGGTATCTTCGCCTGATTGTGTCACATCAACACTCGTCTTCAAAAATGATCAAATCTTAAAGCTAAACTTAAATCTAAACCACAACAATTATTTACTTTTCTATCGTAATTCTTTATCCATCATTTATCCTCATCCCTAAGATAATCATCATGAGTAGGAATAAGTAGGAAAGATAATCAGGATTAAGTAAACACACACACACAAAGTCATCCATTATAAGCTTATCATCATCTACATCATTTGTGAGGCAAGAAAATTAGTTAATCATTTGCAATCAAATAGAAGAGACTAACAAATACCTTGAATAATTATCAAGATTCTTTTACAATTAAACACTATTAACATGATCGCCAAGTTATGTAGTTGATTTGTTGTTCTTTCCCATGTCAACGCATCTTCCAGGTTCCAAAACCCACTGAGATGAAAGGTCAATCCTTTTTCCTCATCCATCGTCCAGGATGACCAATAAATGATTCGCATCTTTTTTTTGTATCCTTCCTATTCCTGTAATCCCATTGATGGAAAATATTTAGAACTGAAAAAGAAGATGAAATATTGAAATGAATTAGAAAGATGAAGATAACGATAAGTTTTTCTTTACAGATCATCAATCAGTGACCAGTTTTCTTGACCGTAACTTTTACACTTTATATTGATAACATTTGTATTCGGTTGACCTTCAACCTCTCAACAAGATCGCTGAGAGCAACATGGTAATGAAGAATTAAAAATTTGGAAACAAAGTTGATAAATTTCTTACTAAGTTGATGATGAAAATTATCACAAGTCCTCAGGCGATTCCAATGGCGTCACCATTAATCACTGAAAACATGGTCTAAATCAAGATGAAATTGATTAGATAAAGAGAAGGTAAATTTTTTTAATCATTTTTGCTTCTTACCTTTTCTATTTGCCTCTTTTCGTCTCATTAACTCTCATATTTCAGGTAAAAAAAGAGACAAATACAAAGCGACCCATAGATGAAGATCATCTCATCATCACAAGGAAATAGTTATTCACCTTGTCAGGTTCTATCAAATTAACTTTTAAATTCAATTAATAAGCATCTCTCAGATTCTTCAGGAATTGAGTTTATCTCAGAACAAGAAATGATGAAGAAGAGAAGACGAAAAGAGAGAGAGAGAGATTCAGGTGAATTAATATCGATACGATGAAAAAAAGGTAATCATTTCAGTTCCATCATGGTGCATCCTATTATCTCCTCGGTGATTCTGTTGATTCAAAGACTATTATTTGAGATCATTAAACCAAGTAAAAGGTTTATGATTGTATTAATACACCTTAATGGTGACAATCAATTTGTATTGAAATAGAAACATGATAAATAGGAAGATTGTACAATCTAATGTACGAGTTTGTTTGGAAAACAAATTCATTGAGAAAATCATTTTCTAAACTATAGATTATCGTAATACTTTGTATTAATTTCAACATGAAGTGTATACTAGTAGACTTATATAGTAGATGAGAAAAGTTTTTACCTCATTTCACTTGATTGTTATTCAACTAGAAATGATAATAAGAGTTTTCGTCTTTATTTACTTCGAATTCAATTCGAAGAAATAAAATTAGATTAACACTGTTTCTCCTTTAATCCTGGGTGAGGACACAGACTGATGAATGGTCTTCATAAAAATGAAATTACACCAAGAAGATGCTGATGAAAAAAAGGGTAAATCATCAGGAAAATGTAATCTCCAAGGGCTAATCCATCTTTAAGATTGAACAATCTTCATTCCTCCTGAAACTTCATGGCGTGTTTATATACCTAAAGTAATAGAAGCAGAAAAAAAACAAAATCAACAAGAATTCATCTTCAGGTTTTTCATTACAAATGTAATGGTGAATTAAATGAGTTGACTGACATGATGATTTCTGATAAATTATAGTTTATACTTTTGGTAGAGAGAGAGAGAGAGAGAGAGAGAGAGAGAGAGAGAGAGAGAGAGATGAGGAAAAACTTGACACTATTTTTGTTTTTCTTTCTCATGTTGATTCATCCAAGAACTTTATCTCCAACGTGCTAATGGTTTAAATCATCATCATGGTAACAATTTATATATATGAACTTTTCCTGTTTCCATGGGATGAACGTTTTCATTATTCTAGGTAAGAATTTACAGAAGAAAAAGGAAATGATGTAACCAGGATCAAATCTTATTCCATGTTCATTGCTGATGCTGATGAGAATCCATGATAATCCAATGTACATTTGTTTACCTGTGAGAAAAGGGATATGAATCATTAAATATTAAAAAGCAAATTTGTTGTTAGTCTGATTAAAATTTGATACCATGGGTTAAGTTTATAAGTATTAACCAGAATTCACATGGAAATAGCTTAGGAATTAGGTTGATTATATATAAACAGCAACAGTTAAGGTAATCTAATAGGTTGTGTAAAAGGATTAAGGTGATCATCATGATTATGATGATGTTCAATTATGATGGAGAGAGAGTGTAGGACTTTTGACCTCACCCTTTTAGCTTTTGTCTATGTTTTATCTGAGTTAATCAGTTAATTGTGTTATCTCATTATTACAAGAACACTTTCAACGTGACTTAAGGTAAAGAAAATATCATCATTATAACAGGTATAATAATAAGGAAGAAGAAAGAAATTGATGAAAATTATCAGAGACAATAAAGATCAAGTGTAACTAGAGACAGAAATGATGATGATGATGATGATGATGATAGAGTTGAGCTGATTAATGTCAACAAAATTATATGGTAGATTTGACATGGAAGATATTTAAGATTGGTTATATCCAGTAGATGTTTTCTCAATCATGATAGAAAAGTAATCAGATCAAAGAGACACGATAACATTTCCACTTTGACCTAATAATCTTTTAGTATTGTTGTTGAATAGAGATGATGGTAAATAGCTCCAAGGAGGAAAAGGAAACTGATATCAAGGTGAGATATCAAAATGGCCAAAGTTTTTTAACCTTAAAAGAAAAAAGAAAATGGAGAAACAAAAATTAGAAATTAACTAATGAAGGTAAAGGAAACAAGAAAGTGAGAAAGAGAGATAATCAGGTTTCCATTGGAATATTGGAAATGAAATTGTTCATTTTGTTTGTAAACAACAAACAATAATGAATATATTGTAACATGAAGTAGATGATGAAGATGATGATAATTTATCGTTTTCTGATTAGGTATTGAACTGAGAATTGATGGAAATCAATTTCTATTCAGTTAATTTAGAACACAGAGAAATCATTGAATGTTTGATTATCTTATTTGGAACAATCAACATTTTCTCTTCTCCTAAATAAACCCTTTGGTCCTTCACATCTTATCATCATCTTCTAGTTGATCTAATTTTCCTCTTTTAATACACATTTTGGTTCCATGATGTTGATCATGATGATGGTCATCATTATCATCTAAAAGGCGTAAACAAGTCATTTAGTCCAAAAGCTTTGGTCAAATAAATCTAACGTTGATCCTCATCTTCTCACATTGATCTCCTTTTCTTTTTCTCGTCTCCATTTTACTTGACCAGAAAACTCAAAGAGAATCAATTGTTTGTATTGACCTGTGAACGAAAAAAAAAGAGACAGAGAAAAACAAAACAACAATAATATCAGAATTAATTTACCTTTGGTCAAGAAAAAATCTTCTTGATTTTGTCTACTCACCTTTTCCAATCATCGCCAGGTAACGTCAAGAGTTACACAATTGTACCAGAGAGAAGAGAATATAATTAACACCTTACATTCCGTTAATTGTTTCAATTTAATCATCGAAATTGTAACTTTTACCTGAGGAGAAAAAAAAAGAAAACAATTAATGAGAAATTGTTGACATGAATGTAAACAAGAGAGAGAGAAAAAAATTGTTACATTGAGAAGGACTAGTATAAGTAGGTTTGCATGGCAAAATAAACCCCAGACCGATTTTTTCAAAAATCCACCTACTGGTTTTGAGTTAAACTATTGATACTAATAATTGGAATTTTTGGACTTTCATGGAAAGTAAATATAATCTTGTATTTTCTTATAATTATTATCTTAATTTTTCTCACTTTGATAGAAGTTTCAATGAATATGAATACTAAGAGTTACACAAAGGTAATTTTTATTTAACTAACTTTCTTAGAAAGTACAATATAAGTAAAAGAAAATCAAGAAACTCAACTAATTTCTCTGATCTAACATCAAATTTGAAAACAAATCAAGATATTTTAATCTGTAACTTTCATGGAAACATAAACTGGTACTTTATTAAAACAATTATCTTAATTTTTCTCACTTTGATAGAAGTTTCAATGAATATGAATACTAAGAGTTACACAAAGGTAATTTTTATTTAACTAACTTTCTTAGAAAGTACAATATAAGTAAAAGAAAAATCAAGAAACTCAACTAATTTCTCTTGATCTAACATCAAATTTGAAAACAAATCAAGATATTTTAATCTGTACTTTCATGGAAAGTCAATATAAACTGCTATTAAAACAATTATCTTAATTTTCTCACTTTGATAGAAGTTTCAATGAATATGAATACTAAGAGTTACAGGTAATTTTATTTAACTAACTTTCAGTACAATATAAAATAAAGAAAATCAAGAAACTCAACTAATTTCTCTTGATCTAACATCAAATTTGAAAAAAATCAATATTTTAATCTGTACTTTCATGGAAAGTCAATATAAACTGGTACTTTATTAAAACAATTATCTTAATTTTTCTCACTTTGATAGAAGTTTCAATGAATATGAATACTAAGAGTTACACAAAGGTAATTTTTATTTAACTAACTTTCTTAGAAAGTACAATATAAGTAAAAGAAAAATCAAGAAACTCAACTAATTTCTCTTGATCTAACATCAAATTTGAAAACAAATCAAGATATTTTAATCTATACTTTCATGGAAAGTCAATATAAACTGGTACTTTATTAAAACAATTATCTTAATTTTTCTCACTTTGATAGAAGTTTCAATGAATATGAATACTAAGAGTTACACAAAGGTAATTTTTATTTAACTAACTTTCTTAGAAAGTACAATATAAGTAAAAGAAAAATCAAGAAACTCAACTAATTTCTCTTGATCTAACATCAAATTTGAAAACAAATCAAGATATTTTAATCTATACTTTCATGGAAAGTCAATATAAACTGGTACTTTATTAAAACAATTATCTTAATTTTTCTCACTTTGATAGAAGTTTCAATGAATATGAATACTAAGAGTTACACAAAGGTAATTTTTATTTAACTAACTTTCTTAGAAAGTACAATATAAGTAAAAGAAAAATCAAGAAACTCAACTAATTTCTCTTGATCTAACATCAAATTTGAAAACAAATCAATATTTTTCTTTTCATGGAAAGTCAATATAAACTGGTACTTTATAAAACAATTATCTTAATTTTCTCACTTTGATAGAAGTTTCAATGAATATGAATACTAAGAGTTACACAAAGGTAATTTTTATTTAACTAACTTTCTTAGAAAGTACAATATAAGTAAAAGAAAAATCAAGAAACTCAACTAATTTCTCTTGATCTAACATCAAATTTGAAAACAAATCAAGATATTTTAATCTGTACTTTCATGGAAAGTCAATATAAACTGGTACTTTATTAAAACAATTATCTTAATTTTTCTCACTTTGATAGAAGTTTCAATGAATATGAATACTAAGAGTTACACAAAGGTAATTTTTATTTAACTAACTTTCTTAGAAAGTACAATATAAGTAAAAGAAAAATCAAGAAACTCAACTAATTTCTCTTGATCTAACATCAAATTTGAAAACAAATCAAGATATTTTAATCTGAACTTTCATGGAAAGTCAATATAATCTTGTACTTTCTTACAATTATTATCTTGATTTTTCTTCACTGCGGTAGAAGTTCCAATTCCAGTTCCACTTGATTTTTTAAAGTTTTATCTCTTTATGATGGATAAAATTAAATTTAATTGACAATTAAGTGATGAGAAATAATTAACTTGTTTGTGTTAATAAATTAAGTTGATTGTTACAATTTACCAAATCGTAAATGAAATTTATCAAAAGCTAATTGTATAATTGTATAGTAATAATAATTGTATAATTGATGAGACAAATTTAGATGTTGTTGTAATCAAGATGATATAAAAGCTAACAATTAGTGTAACTATCAAAACAATTTAGCGAACAATTTACAGGGAAATTAAGATAATCATTGTAATTAACCAGAACCAGCAAGTTATTAAAAATAACATAAGAGTCTTGAATTAATTTTTGATTTGATAACAAACGAAAGTTGATTTATAATTAACTGAACTAACAATTAGATGGTTACAATTAAGTCCATCAAGACAGTTTCTATTTGAAGTAATAAATTGTCCTCAGAAAACTAATTGTTATCACATTGTATTGGTCTTCAATTGACAATTTAATCAACTTAATTTGGTCAAGAGTTAAAAGTAATTGTAGTCAAGAATCAAATAAGCAAAGATAATTGTTGGTTAAGATTCATTTCTATTGGTTTGATTTAAATTATAATCTAATACATAAATTTTGTTAATCAATAAACTTAGTTTTAATCACAATCAAGGATCTAAGATTAATTGTTAATCTAAAACGCTGACAATCAAAGTGTAAAGAGTTAATTTTTTTGTAAATGGTTTTATTGTTTTCAATTTAAATTCAAATTTTTTGCCTAAAATAAACAAATTGTTACAATATTTATCCTTCAAGTTGATTGTCCAGTTTAAATTAAAAACTGACCATCGTATTTTTGATTGTAACAATTTAATTAATTTATTGTAACGATTTGTCAAGATGGAGATGATGAAACATCAACCGATGCTGGCCTAAATTCAAGTAAGTTAATTGTGATTTTTACCTTTTCAAAATAATCATCTTTAGAATAGAATTAATCATTTTTTTTTTGTTTTCTATTCGTCTCTCTCTCTCTCTCTCTCTCTCTCTCTCTCTCTCTCGATTTTATTTATATTGATCTTTAATGATCTATACTAATTACATCAAAGAATTACTTCTTTTTTAATGTTCATCTCTCATTGAGTATTATTCATTAATTTTTTTGATGTTAATCAAAGAAAAATCAAAACCAAAGTGAATAGTTCAAATAAAAAACACTAGGTGAGAAATTTATTTTGTTTTTGTTGATGATGAAAAAATAAGTAACAAATTTATCAAAAGACTCAAATTATCTTGTTTTTATCAATCATTTCGTAACTTTTTACATTAAAATGTACTGAAGACTTATCTAAATTTTGATAAAAGTGAATAATAATAACCCTCAGCCCTAACGGTCTGGGGAGAAAGAAGGAAAAACTGAAATTGGAAAGACACAAGGGTTAGAGGTTTGTAATCCTTTCTCCTTAAAGAATTAATTTCTTCTGTTAATCCATCATCATCAATCTAGACAGAGAAAAGAAGATTAAATTTAACAAATCAACAAGAAGAGAGAAAAAAAAATCCAACATATTACAAAATGTCAAAAGAGAAACAAGAACAAAAACAATGAGTCACAATTCACAAGAGAGAAAAAAAAAAGAAAATAGAAAAACATTAATTTCTTTAATTGTTTTCTTTTTCTTTCCAATGTGATTGAAGATTAGAAAATTAATTTTCTTCACTCATCCATTTGTCTGTTAATCATCAGCAATCATAAGTCATAATCTCCACCAAGTGATACCAACAGGATAATCCAAAAGTTAATAAGATGCCATTGGAAAACCGAAAAGAGATTCAAAATGGAAAATGAAAACAAAGGTGAGTCAGAATTGAGAAGAATTGAAAAACATTCTATTCTCATGATAAATACTCTTAACCCTTTGTGAATTAATCATGAGAGTTACAAGATCTCATTTCAGGGAGAGAGAAATAGATTACAATTTAACGATTCTATTGAATCTTGTTAATCTCCATAATGTTTTTTTTTCTGTATCTTGTTGTTTTTCTGTTTCAATTTACCAACATCATCATCATGGAATCTTGTAAATGTTTATCCTGTAGACCAATTGATCAATTCCAAAGGAAGTCAAGAGGACCCATGAAGGAAAAAAAAACTCAGAGAAAATGACTAAAGGTAAGAGAGAGAGAAAAGAAAAACATTGAAAGTCAAATTAACCTGGAAATTGAAGCCTAAATGGTAAGATGATATTACCTTGTTGACCGAATAGTTGAGACTTTGTTCATCTTGTATTCCATTTTATTCATGATTGTTGATCATCTTCATGGAACAATATTGATCGTTAAGATGGTGAGTGTTTCCATCTTGATCGAATAGAAATAACACCAAAAACCAAAATGGATTCCATTTTGATCCTTCTCTTTTCTTCGTTACTCATTCATCATCGAATCTTAATTTTCTCTTCTATCCTTTTCTCTCTCTCTCTCTCTCTCTCTCACTCATCTTTCCAGTTCCAAAGTTATCATCATCTTTTCTCTCCAACATTAACCGTTATTCTTACCAATATATGAAAGAAGAGGATCTTGAGTAAAGAAGACAAAAAGATGAGCAAGATGAACACTCATAAGGAAAAGGTCAACAAATGAAATCAAGTGGATCCATATTCAAGTTAATATATTTGGGTGATAACAACAAGGTAAGAGATTTCCAGGAGATTCATAGTTACATGTGATTTATTTCAACCCGAAATGAATAGTAACTCAATAATAATAATAATCCATCGTTTTATTTTATTTTTTGTTTTCATTTTCTTAGGAATTCATTGATATTGTCTTTTGTTTTCGCTGTTGAATAGTGTGACTATTTTAACCAGAGATTATCTCTTGTTTATGGTGATGGTGATTTACTTACGTAGTATCTTGAGTACTCGGAATATTATTCAACGTTAACTTTAACGACTATTGTTGGTACACACACTCCATCAAATTTATGGAAAGACATCAAACTTATCATTGTTAACAAGACATATTATACCATGAGAGATGAAATATATCATGATGATATTAGTATGACAATCATAAGAAAGTGTATAAAGTATTTCAAGAAAAAGAATCATCGTCTTTACTATTAACAAGGAGCATTTCCAAAGGAGGAGGAAAAAGAAAAGAGTGAGATGCAAAATACATGGAGGATAAAGACGATTTTGTTAAGATAAAATGAGAGAGAGAGAGAGGAAAAAGGATGATGAGGAAGAGACGAAGGAGTAAAAAGGGAAGATTGTTTCGTCCGCCATTTTTGGTTCCATAACATGAAGAAAATGATCAAACGAGAGATGATAAAGAGACAGTTATGACAATTGTCAGAGACGATTCAATGGAAAACGACACTTTTTTCATTCTCTTGTTAGAGGAAAAATTTGAGGGATGATTTTCACTCCCTTTTCTCTCTCTCTCTCTCTTCTCTATCGTCATCATCGTCATTGGATCTTCTCATCTTTTCTAAAACTCTTTTCGTTCTTAACCCACTTTGTCTTCTCTTCCCTGACAGGGTGAGTTTAGTGTATCAGCCTCTCTTTCTCTCTACCTCCATCTTAGTGTGAACAGTTCACTTGACTCGAAGAAGTCAATGAATTCGAAAGAATGAGACCCAAAAAAGGTGGAGAATAAATCTTTTTGCGAGAAAAAAAAGGAAAAAGAAACATCAAAGTTACTTAAAATGAATTTTTGGCAATATGGAGGAGAAAGAATCAAACTCACACCGAGAATATTTCATGAAACATTGTAACTGTTCATCAATATACTCACAATGAAACTCAATCTAACTGTTGGAAAATCATCTCCCCTGAAATCTCATTCAACTGATTCATGTTGATTACAACCTATGGAATCCAGGAAAGCAGAAGCAAAATATCATAAGTACCACCCAAAAATACTCATGGAAAAAAAAGTTTTCACCGAAAATTGATAAAAAGCTACAATTCCAATAGGAATCCATTCATACGCCTCAAGAGTTACTTAAATAACTTTTTGTATATTAACTCATGAAGATGATAATGATGATAATATTTTCACCATACAATTTACAAATAGTTACATCATCAACTTGAATAATAACATATGATAACTATCACTTTATGAGGTGGATACAAAAAGCATTTCCTTTTCACCATGAGAATTTCCCTCTCTCCGAATTTCACCTTCCCCATCCTACCACCTTCATCGCTCACCATTCATACCTTTTTCTCATATAATTATCATGACTACCACTCTATTCATGAAGAGTTATCATTTTGTTCATTTCAATGTTGGATGTGTATTCTGATTCCCCATGAAAAGAGAGAAAGAGGGAAAATCTTTCACCAAACAAATTCTTGTTTATTTATGTATCCAATCTCTTTTCTGTGAATTACTTTCGCTCGACAAATCATCAGAATGTCTCATTGATGGAGAAGAGAGAGAGAGAGAGAACAAGAATATAATATGATGAATTCAGAGAGAAATTCACTGTTTTCAACTGAATTTCTAAAGAAAAAGATCTAAAAAGATGAAGAGATTCACATGGAAAAGGTAAACAATTTCTACTTATTTTTGTAACCAAAATTTTCCATCCCATGTAACTGTAGTTTCTTTATGAACTTTTCCACCAACAGAATATACACTTTGTACTCGATAACATGATAAATAATCTCTGGTGGTTCCAAATTTCTATCGTTTACAATTTAATTGCTCATCTTATGGATAATTGGAAAATGATGATAATATCGATAATACTGATTTTAGTTTATCAATACAAAGGAAAATACGAAAACTGTTAAATTTAAATGATGCCCTGAAGGTGAACCGCAATTATTAATAATATTATCTTTTAATAAATTTCACGAAAAACGGAAATGAAATGTTTTCCATCAAGTGAAACGATTATAATCAAAGTTAAACGCTCGCAATTGAAACTGACATGATTGTTTATTTGAGTGTAAAGTTGACACTCTGTAGATGATGTTGATAGTAAACTATGGCTGATAAAATAGCCCTGAGGTGATAATGATGATGGTGAAAACTGCAATCATCTCCCACATACATATGAATGAATGATTTCAAGTTTGACCCAATTTCCTGTTGAGAAAAAATTTTCACAAGTTAATCAAATTGCAACCAAATAATAATTTCATAATTTACAATCAAAGAAACATCAACACGAAACTCACTGTAAGTATGTAAATCATTCATATATCATGATGATAATGATTAGTATTTTAAACAACAATTTATATTTAACATTGTTGATGGATTTATTCAAAGGCTTTGTTAGCCAATCAAATTGCAATGGAACAATTAAATAAATCATTTCCAACAGTGATTCCATGATGATAGGGAGTGGATCTCTCTCTCTCTCTCTCTCTCTCTCTCTCTCTCTCTCTCATGCTTTGAATTTTTCAAATTGAAATGATGCCAATCTCTCGTGGCTCTGAATTAGATTTATATTCATTTATATCATACAATTGAATTGAATTATGATTCTCATGAAGATGATGGCTTAATCATTTATATTTTAATTCTTTATGTGGTCAACAATTTAGTTTTATTGACCATCCAAGGGAAGTGAAATAATTTTCAGATTCATTTTGTTTAATTCGAGTGATTAACAAATCTGTTAAAACTTTAATCTTTAGAAAGTTGAGTTAATAAAAAATTATTGATGATTAAGAACTTTTTAAGAAATAAATTCACCTTTTTGATTTAAATTTTCATGATGATTTAGAATCCTGATTATCTCTCTCTTCTCATCAATTTATAGTAATTTACAGTCTTCAGTTAATCAGCGAGAGGCTGAATAATAGCTGATGATATTATACAAGATTGAATCTCTCTCTTTCTCTCTCAACAGTAGGGTTCCAATATATTAGTAGTAAACACTTTGAATGTAATAATACAAAAGTAATTAATAAAATGCCTGAGGCAATAAAAAGATTTTTTATTCCAGAAAAATAATCATGATGATAGAAAATGAAAGAGGGCAATGGAAGAGATAGAGACTGAGAGAAAATATCATCATGAATGGTAAAATTGTTTTCTTCACTTGGAATCGATTATTTTACTATTTTATTCATTATCTTATTTTCTTACAAAACAGAAATCACCAATTCCATGATAATAGACACTCGATGAGATGCAGAAGAGAAAATAATAAGAGACATTTCCAATTCTCTTCTCGCTTGTAATGGTCAAAACTATGCAAATGACCATTAGCGATCTTGTAACAATCAATGACACCTTATATTGGATAATAAAACAACCGCAACATACACTTAATCTTTTCATAACTTTTCTGATTCAATTACACAGAATCACCGAACAACCCAAATGGATTTTATCACAATTGTTTCTCTCTCATGAAATGATGAATTTGGTCCTTTTCTAATGGTCATGTAGCTGAGTCAATTCAAAATCTACCAGGAATAGAAAGTAAGTCAGAAAATTCGTAGATTCTAAACAGTTAAGATCAATATGAAATGAGACTTTTGGACATCGTTGAAAGATGGAAATGTTGACCAAATTGATACTAAACGAAAAGCTATTTTGTACTAGAAATGAGAACGAAAAAAAAATGAGATGATTATCTTCCTTTGGATATAATGAGTTAATACAAATGCATTCGTATTGGTCAACCAATTCGGTTGGTCACTACTATGACTTTCCTCTCTCACCTTCATCCTTACGAGATTATTATGCCATGATTAGGTTTCTCTACTGCTTTACCATCATCAACATGGGATTATGAATCTATCCCACTAATAAGATAAGTTTAGTTTTGTTTTACTTTTTTTTCTCATCTTCTCTTGATGAGGATGATAAAAGTTTCACTGGCTCTTTTTTCAGGAATATCATCATCATCATCAAGCAATTTGATCACCTTTCACTTATTTTTCTCTCCAGTGAATTTACCACGTTTGCAAGTTCATTAAAAAATCAATTTTATGTTTTCTCCAATTTCACTTTGGAAAGAAAATCGCTGAATTTGATAAAAAAAGCTCGAAAAGGTATAAATGATAAGGATGAAGATGCTAATCTCCAATGTTTCACTCTTCCTTTAACTTCTCAATCGGATCCAAAAAATGGAGATGATGAAAAGAGGAAGATGCAAGATGATTAGCTTCAAACTGGACACAGTGTGTTGGTTGCGTGAATGAAAAAGAGACATTTAATCAACAAAGTTGAGATTCAACTAATTGTATCAACACATCTAGAAGTCTAAGGTAACCAGGAGATGATCAAGATGAAGATAAAGATAGATAGATAGATAGAGAGAGAGAAAGTCATAGAAAAGGTGATGAGGATAAACTAGTTGCTGGTTTTCTCATCGATTATAATTGTTGACAACACGGAGCCCAAGCAGTTTTCATCTTTATCTCTAATTGTTGAAATAAATATTGTTGATTCACTTGTAAAGTTTAAATTGATTGTTGATGTTAACACATATCCTTTTGATTATCACCTTACAGTTGATGTTTAATCAGCAGCAATCAGTCTTATCCTTTTGTTGGTAAGATCAAAAGTTGGAGAAAAGTTTGATGATGATAAAAGTAACAATTGTTACCATAGGAAAGAAGTGAAAATATCTGTCAAAATATTTGATGATTGATGGTCAATCTCAATTCAATTCAACAATGATGATGATGATAAAATCATCAACTCAGAATCCAAAATAATAATAGATAAAATTCACTTATATTAATACACATATAAAGTATTAAGTGAATATCAAAGCTAAATATTAATCAGAACAAGTAAATTAATGATAAGTTTTTAATGGAACAAGAAATATTATTATCTGACAATAATCGCCATAGATTGATAACAATAAACAATTTCATCTTCATGATAATAGTTCAAAAATATATAATAATGAATGATATCAATGAGTAAAAAATTTCTTATAATTAATTAGATAATAAGAGTATGAAGTTGAATTTTTTTATTGACTCCTTATGGTGTATTAAGGTGAGGCTTTTGTTCAGGTCTTGTTACCTGTAAACATTTTTTAAGTAATTAAAATGAATCAATTGTCAAGGTAGTGACCAATTCAACCTATGGTCAAGATAAGAGAGAGAGAGAGAGAAAATTAATTAAGATTACAGGTAAGAGATAGAGAGATGTAAGAATTGTAATTGAATTGATTGATTGCTCATCTACTGCATCAGAAACATCAACTTTATCTTCATCACCAGGAGAGTAAATATCAAACAGAATGTAAAGAAAAACGAGAATAATGATTAACAATTAACAGTTAATTCAATTTGATTTCACCTTAAATTGAGAATCAACATATTCTATATAAATGACAATAAAAAATTGAGAAAAATCAATCATCTGAATAATTAAAAGTCAATGATCGTAATCATTATCATCACTCACCATCATCAATTTATTAGATGATCATTAGGATTTTGAAAGAAATGAAAACGGAATGGAATCGAGAATTTTGAATTAATGACAATTATCATGATAATTCAGAGGATAAAAAATAAACAATAAAAACAATGGAATAATAATTGATAGAAAACTCAATTTGACAAATGGTAGGAGCAAAAAGAGAGAGAGAGCGAAAATGTTCAGAAATCAAGGGAAATGTATTATTAGTAAATGGAATCGTTGATTGTAACCAACATTTGATGATAATCAAGGGAGACTCACATTAATAATGATGAAGATGAAGATGATGATGGGTGAAAAAAACATCTAATGTTTTAACCAGAGTTTCAATGTTAGTTGATTAATGATTTGGACAATTTCTTGTCTTGCACCATATTGAGAGAGAGAAACATCATCAGCATCCTCATCTTCCTCCTCCTTGATTATCCTTTTGTTAGTTAATATTTAAAAAGAACAAAAAAAACATCAACAATTTAAATTATTTTGTAATCAAAGACAATTTCATGGTTTAATTTGACGAGAAAAACATAATTGCTCAAAGATAATGATCTTTAAATTTAATAATGATAAAGATGTAACACTTTTAATCAACATCATCAAATGCTAGAAAAGGATTGATAAGTTGAAGAAGATGCTTGAAATTTGGTGGGAAACTCGAATCTTGTTTGAATCAAACGAGAACTTTTTTGTTTATTTCTCTTCCTGGTTCATCGATTGCATCATATTTCTTAATCATTATGAAATATTAGTTATCATTGTTTAGGAAATTGTTCAACAATTGAAAATAATTAGAATTGTAATGTTTATCTCTTCGGATATTTGACAAATTAGCGTAACAATAATTTTTTTATGCTCTAATCTAAATGGTACAGGAAAAAAGGACAAGGATAGATGATAAATTATCGGGATATTGGTGAAAATTGTCAAAAAAAAGTGGAATCATCTTCATCATAACACAATAATGACAATATATATTAATAGAAACCAGAACACAGAATCATTACAATCAACAACAATTGACATCAATTGTTAATATGAATCTTTTTATCCTCAATGAAATGTGACATGAATACAATTTCATTGCTCACTTTTATGGAACAATTTATATTTCATTTTTCTCTTAACATCTTCACCATCATGATGAAGATCAGATTAAATATGACAAAATATCGACCAAATAAAAGTAATCATTATAATGAAATAATCTCGAATATTGAGACGAAACTAACTACATAGAAATCGATTTCAAGTCCACAACCAATTATTCAAATCTCAATATCTAAACTCATTCGCTAATTAGCCTCATTTTCATCTGTCCAAAGTTCTGATGAAAATTTTCCTTTACCATGTTGCTTATTCCATGAGGTTTAATTTCAGTTTGAATGAGAAAAAAAACAATCACGATAACTGAATTGTCTTTACAACCTAAAAGGAAATGAGTGAACTTTTATTCTTTGTCGTTATGGTGACGATAATTTCCTATTAAGAACAACAATATCCATCATCTACTACTATGATTCCACCCACTTTCCTGAGGTTTTTCATGTAATTCCACTGATTGTTCATACGTAAGATTAGGTAAATAAGCTATTATCTTTCGTAGGCTTTTCTCTCCTTCTTGTTTATGTTTTTCATCCATCAATTTAATGATGGATGATCTTACGGTCGAAAACCAAAATTGTATCTGTTCAATGGTTGGTTATCACATCGCCATCATCATCATAATGAAGAAACGTTTCTTATCATCTGATTGGATTGATTCATTTCTTTGGTTTTCGTCATCACATCAACTTGTCCTCACATGAAAACCAATCCATCATCTATCATCTCATGTCATCTCTCTCTCTCCATCCTCATCCTTTTTCATCATCTTATCTTGCTCATCGTTTTCTAGAGTGTAAATATTTCTTAAGACTATCAAAGGATAACAAAAAGGTAAATTGGATTAACTGAAAACCTTTTTAAAGGTCAAACTATGGACAATCTTGTCAAATCCATCTAATAATCAAATAGCTAAAGGTCAAGTTTAATATGAGATTTTCTTACAAACTGATATGATAAAGAAACTTTAATTGGTTCAGGTTAGATTATTGATACAATAGGAAGATGATATTTCATAGCTGATGAAGAGAAAGATTGTTATCGATGATAAATTATGCCGGACAATTGGTTTAGGAAGAGGAAGAAGACAAGGAAGAAAAAAGTAGCCATCTAATGGGCTTGTTGAATGTAAATGGATGAAAGAATTGATTACAAGTTTGGATCATCGTTGAATTGATTAATCGTTTATCAATTGTTGATGAGGATACTTGAATAGTGAGAAAAGGTCAAGCAAAAATCGGATGACCATGATGATGATGATGAAGATGATTAGGATAAAAGAAGAAGATGGAAAAATGTTTAGTGATACAATCTATTCAATGGAAACCTCAAGTTTTTCAATGGAAAAGCGGAAATCAACGGTTCAACAGTTTCTCTACCGGATTAAGAAAGTGAAACTCATTGATATTATTATTATTATCTCTCACCATCAAGTATCAACAATCAATGAACCAGATAAACCTTTTCAATATTAATCATTGGACATTTCCCAAGCTCTCCCTCAATTCCCACCCAAAACAATATTGTTTATTATCATCATGATCAGAATCAAAACTTTCCCATGATTAGAAACGATATCGTTCATCATTTATACAACAATAATTGAACCTTATCAACTTTGATAAAATTTTCTAAATGCCAATTAGTTTTAATCGTTGAACGATAATCTCCAAAAAAAAGAGACTTAATCTTGAGTCTCTTTGTTTATCTACAATTAGATTAATTCAAGATGTAATCAATAGAAAAATTGATTGTAAATTAACCAATTTCTCTTCATCAATTTAAAAT